CATCTAGGTCAACTGGCATAACAAAGCTTATTAAGAAAATGTTCTGCATCCTCTTTGGTAAGTGGTGTCTGGGATCTTAAAAGCTCGCAAGCGGCCATCTAAGATGCATCAATTGGTCCCAACTACCTGGAGTAAAGGAGAATGAAGAACACCAAAGACACAAGGAAAGTATTAGCCCAAGAGACAGAAAGAGCCACATAAACCAGAGACTGCAACAGCCTGAGATCAGAAGAACTAGATGGTGCCCAGCTACCACCAATGACCGCCCTGACAGGGAACACAACAGAGAGTCCTGGATGGAGTCAGAGAAAGGTAGGGTGCAGAACTCAAATTCTAGTAAGAAGACTAGACTTAATGGTCTGACTGAGACTGGAGGAACCCCGGAAAGCATGGCCCCTGGATTCTCTATCAGCCCAGAACTAAAACAATTTCCGAGGCCAACTCTTCAGACACAGATTGGACTGGACTGTGGGACATAAAGTGATACTCATGAGGAGTGTGCCTCTTAGCTCAAGTAGATACAAGAGACTAAACAGGCAGCTTCTGTCTGGAGGTGAGATGGGAAGGCAGAGAGGGTTAGGAGCTAGTTGAATGGAGAAGGGGAATCAGGCGTGGAGAGAAGGAGCGTGCTGTCACAGTATAGGGAGAGCAATTAGGGTCACATAATAATGTACGTATAAATTTTTGTATGGGAAAAAATAAAAAAATTAAGAAAGAAAATGCAGAATGTTCGTCATCACCAAATCTATTCAAAACTATAAGAAGTTCTCATCAGTATAATAAAGACAAGAAACAAAATGAAAAGTATAACAATCCAAAAGTAAAAAATAAAACCATCACTATTCACAGATAATATGGTTCTTTTCTCAGAAAACCTGAAAGAATCCACAGACAGAATATTAGGGTTAACAGGAGAGTTCAGCTAAGTTGCTGGTTCCAACATCAATATTGAAAAGCTAATCGCATTTCCCTACACCAACCACAAACAGCAAAACTGTAATTTAAGAAATTATACCACTATCCCAGGAATAAAAAAGGTAATACACTTTACAAAACCTGTTCAGGCCCTTTATAAAGTATAAACTGTACTAATAAACGTTCAGGAGGCCTCAAGTCGGTGCAGACATGCATCACATGCACGGTTATCACAGTGTGGTTTCCACACTGTGCGTTGACCCACACAGGCGGCCCAATGCAAACACCAGTGCTAAGAGGGCATTTTGTGGGAAGCGCAAGCTCATTCTAAATTTTACATGAAAAGGCAAAGGGCTAAGAAGAGCCCGTATGGTTCTGAAAAAAACAACAAGGTGAGGGGATATCCTCACAGAGATCAGAATTTATGGTAATGTGACGTTAGGTGAGGTGGGGCGGGAAGAGGGAGAAACGAACCACAAACATGGAGCCAAGAAGCAGACTCACACACGGGAATCGGTATTTGACACAATGGGAAGGACAGACCCTTCCTTAAACAATTTTGGGAAAACAGGTGGGTCATATGAGGAAAAAATAAGGTTGGATCCCTGCCTCACTCTATATACAAAAATAATCCTAGGGAGAGCAAAAGTTTAGAAGTTTACAAAAAGGTAATAACTTTGTGATTTTGGATACGAAAATATTTCTTCAATAAGATGCAAAAACTACAAACCATGAAGGAGAAGGTCAAAGACTCAACAACATTGAAATCTGAGAATGTCTGGTCACCAAAAGGAGCAATAAGAGTAAAAAGACAAGCCACAAAGTGGGGGAGACGTTCCAACACACATAGCCAACCAAGATCCGTGTCTAAAATGCATAAAGAGCTCCTAAAAATCAATATAAAGAGGCACTAGGAGAGCAGCCATCTAAGATGCATCAATTGGTCCCAACCCACCTGGAGTAAAGGAGAATGAAGAACACCAAAGTCACAAGGAAAGTATTAGCCCAAGAGACAGAAAGGGCCACATAAACCAGAGACTTCATCAGCCTGAGACCAGAAGAACTAGATGGTGCCCGGCTACCACCAATGACTGCCCTGTCAGGGAACACAACAGAGAGTCCCTGATGGAGCAGGAGAAAAGTGGGGTGCAGAACTGAAATTCTAGTGAAAAGACCAGAGTTAGTGGTCTGACTGAGACTAGAGGAACCCCAGAGAGCATGGCTCCTGGGCCCTCTGTCAACCAGCGCTAAAACTATTCCCGAGGCCAACACTTCAGTCAAAGATTAGACTGGACTATGGGCCATAAAATGATACTCGTGAAGAATGTGCTTCTTAGCTCAAGTAGATACATGAGGCTAAATGGGCAGCTCCTGTCCGGAGGTGAAATGAGAAGGCAGAGAGGATCAGGAGCTGGCTGAATGGACACGGGAAATCAGGGGTGGAAAGGAGAAGTGTGCTGTCACAGTATAAAGAGAGCAATTAGGGTCACACAACAATGTAGGTATGAACTTTTGTATGAGAGACTAACTTGAACTGTAAACTTTCACTTAAACCACAACAATTTAAAAAAGAGAGACACTAGGAGAGACAAGCAAAGAAATAACATTTCACAGAACAAGCGGCAGGAGGGCCAGAGAGCCTGGGGAAGCTGGTCAGCCTCACGAGCGATGAAGGAAGCACAAACCAAATCTACAGTGGCTGCATCTCACATCCACCAGATGGGGTGGAGCAACGAAGATGTGCTCTCGTTGATGCAGTGACAACCACGGTTTGAACACGATTTGGGCTTCATAAACGCTAATTGAACTCGGGCGTCAAACCTGGCCGACTCAGCACAAGACAACTCCAGAGCCAAGGCTGAGGGAAGACTAAACAGCATCTCTGAACATCTCTAAACAGCAGGTTGGGACATCCCCTTGAACTAAACTGACGAGCTTCATTTTCAGAACTCAAGAGAAGTTAGTTTGCAGGATAAAGTCATGAAGAGAATCAGAAATACTTGGAACTCGTAGTCAAGTTTATAATCCATCTTCCCAGAAGTCAAACATGTGGGCCATTCAGGCCCATGTGGTGGCTGTAATTCAAAAGTGATCCCCAATGCACATGAACAAGAGCACATGGTCACACAGCTCCCACCCTAAGCAAGAAAATCCACCCTCGGGGCCGCGCGTGCATTCGAGGTCATGTCAGGACTTCAGCAGGACTAGACTTCCCAAAGGTGAGGGCAGGAGATCAAACACACAGCCCTCTCCCCACGGCGGACACGGCCCTGCGCTGGGCCTGCAGGGGCCTGCGGCTGGGGATCCCTGTGTCTCAGGGTCCCTGAGGCTTGGCAGTCCTTGTGGTTCAGGGTCCCTGAGGCTTGGGGTCCCTACAGTGTGGGGGTCCCTGTGGTTTACAATCCCTACAGCTTGGGGGTCCCTGTGGTTCAGTGTCCCTACAGCGTGGGGGTCCCTATGGCTGAGGGTCCCTGAGGCTCCCACACTGCATCCTCCAATTGCTCCGTGCTGTGCACCACCCCACCCAGCCACTGGACCCCCACCTGACCACTGGACCCCCTCCATTCAACCACCAGACATTCCACTGGCCGAGTGTCTGAAACACAAACATGACCTGGACCGGGGAGCTGTGGCATTTCTAAGGACACAGCCTTCCTATAAGGACACGCTCATTCCCAATGAGGCCCCTAGGTTGCCAGCCGCTGGGGTCAGTGCTGGGAAAGGGCTGTGGGGGACACAGGGGCCAGGTGCATGGCAGTGGGGGCAGAGCCTGCTCCTCCAGTGCCCCCTCCCCTCAACATGAGCGCAGAGCTGAGGGGACAAAAGGCGCTGGAAGCAGATGCACTTACCCCACCGTCTGATCCTCCCAGGGACAAGCCCTTCTCGGCTATGCTGCAGGGAGACAGAGGGTCAGGTCAGAAGATAGCTGACGGTGTCACTTGCAGTGCATCGAACAAACATCGGTCAGCACGTTAACACAAAGTCACGAGATTCTGCTTACTTAACATCGTGACGGAAACAAGGGTTTAGAGCCAAGGACTCAACGTTCAAAACTGCCGACTTGTTAATCACACACCCCACGTTCAGAGACAACCAGCCTCAACCCTCGACTTTCACATCAAGATTCGGCCCCAGCTCAGGCGGGCCTCGGAGCCTCGGGCAGCTCTGTGGATGGCTGAAGTGTCTGGAGGCCTCGGGCTGGGGCCTCTCTCCTCTCTTGGCTCTCACAGGCTGGCTGAGGACGGCGTGTCAACCACCTGCCCCCAGGAGGGAGGAAGACCGCTGGGGTCGGCCGCTGGGACCCGAAAGGGCCTCCCTCCCTGCATCACCGGAGACGCTGAGAGTACCCAGTGCCTCAGCACAACTGTGCCTTGGGATGGCCAGCCCGCAGTAAACCCAGTAATCCCACTTACTTACACTCGGCCTGGGGCCAAACGTGAGTTGTAAACTCAAAGCTTTCCTCTAAGATCCTGTTCCAAAAGCGCCAGCAAGGAAAAGCCAGGGCCAGAACTCCTGAGTGAGCTTGCTGTCATCAGGACAAGTGTGGCCTGGCCAGCTGAAGGACAGCACCCTGGCCACCTTACAGACTGAACCACCACACAGTGACCACGTGTGGCCCGGCCAGCTGAAGGACGGCACCCTCGCTGGCTTACAGACTGAACCATTACACAGAGACCACGTGCGGCCTGGCCAGCTGAAGGACGGCACCCTTGCTGGCGTACAGACTGAACCATTACACAGTGACTGAGTGTGGCCTGGCCAGCTGAAGGATTGCACCCTCGCCGGCTTACAGACTGAACCATTACACAGTGACCACGTGCAGCCCAGCCAGCTGAAGGACGGCACCCTCGCTGGCTTACAGACTGAACCACTACACAGTGACCACGTGCGGCCCAGCCAGCTGAAGGACGGCACCCTTGCTGGCTTACAGACTGAACCGCTACACAGTGACTGAGTGTGGCCTGGCCAGCTGAAGGATGGCACCCTCGCCGGCTTACAGACTGAACCCCTATGCAGTGACCGTGTGCCACAGCTCTGTGAGCATGGCATCTCTGCCGCAACACTTGGGCCCCGAGAGCCGATGAGGATGGCATCGTCCTCGACCTCGCCCCTGGAGAGAGGTCAGCCCTCTAGAATGTTCTGTCTGTAACCCCATCACTCAGGGCAACAGCCTTTCCCCCCAGAAGTCAGGAGTCTCACTCTTTCCCTTGGGAACGCACAAGGAAATCTCCCCAGCCCCTTTCCTGCTGGTTTGTCTCAGGCTCTTCCAGCACAGTGTTACCTGCGGACTCGCATCGCCTCCTCCCTGGTGATGACCACGTCTGAGATGCCACGGCCACACTTCCTAGGGGTGCAGCCTGCAGAGAGACGAAGCCAGGGTGAGCCAGGCGACCCCCACAACTGGAAGGACAAGCCTGTGGACTCGCAGGGCCCAGCTCCCCGGGCGACTGAGGGCCCCAGACACCACGGTAGGGAGTCAGCGGGGCCCGTCCACAGCTCGAGCGCTGCTGCAGGCTGCGCACACAGGCCACAGGACACCAGTTAAACTCTACTTCAGACAAACGACAGTAACTTCTGCACACATCTGTCCCAGGCAAGTTCGCATTTAACCAGGCGCCCATGCTCTACCTGGTGCTCCACACAGACTCGGATGTTCTGGACCCATCAGCACTTTCCCCGGCCCTCGCAGACAGCACGCGTGCCACCCAGACAGATGCCTGGCGACGTCCCTGAGCATCACGGACTGCAGTCTGGTTGCCCACAGGCCCACCCACAACTCAGTGTCACTTGAGTCACTGCCCTTCGCGGCCCTGCAGAGGGCCAGCACCGTGTTTCTCTGTCGCATCCCATACTGTCCTTCCTCTTCCTCCTGACCCTCCGACCCTCCGGCGGTCAGAGGGAAACAGGGTGGAAACATGTCCACTTCTTGACCACTGAGAGAACCCTGAAGGCCCTACTCCTGCTGCAGCATCCCGCATTAAACCACGTTCCTCCTTCCAGGGTCCCGTGCTTCCAGAGAACATCCAGCTGCTATCTGCATCGCAACAGCGCCCCTTTGTGGAAGAGCCTGCAATCTGACCTTGGTTCAAGTCCAAAACTTGGAATGCAAACATCAACTGGATTCTATCTTTAAAACCCAGGCAGGACTTTCTAAAGTGAAGAGGCATCGAAGCAGTGGGGATGTTCCCGAAAATAGCCCAGGCCCCACCCCTGCTCGCCAGCAGAGTAGCACTCCGGCAGGTCAGCGGACTTCAGCACCCTGGAGAGCTGCCCGAGCCACAAGGGGGCATGGGACGCTCCTGAGGCCACAACACTGCAGTGACACCAGGACCAGGCCTGGGGGTGTCCCTAGGGACGGTCCCATATGGTGGGGCTGGGACACCTGTAATCCCGCCCAGTCAGCCCCGCCCAGTGCTGCGATGACCCCTGTACCTCCCAAGTGCACCTTACAGGTGAGATTTGGGCCGCTCGGGGGCAATGGCGCCGTCTAGTGGCTACAGTGGGTAGCGGAGGCTAACCACACCGGCAGAGGGGAAGGTCACTTGTTAACCATCCCTGCCCCCCTACAAACACAGATACACACAGTCACACAAATATACTCACACACACAAAAACACACATATACTGACACCCAGACACACACACACACACACACACTCACCCACACTCACACAAAGGCATACAGATACATACAGACACACATGCACAGATACACACACACACACACACAAAGAGACACACAAACACATACACAAACATATACAGATACGCATATACTCACACAAACACAGAGACACAAACATATACACAGGTACACACATAGACACACACACTAGAGAAACACAGACACACACTGGCACACACACACTGGCACACACAGGCACACACACTCACACGGGCACACACTCAGGCACACACACGGGCACACACACACGGGCACACACTCACAGGCACACACACACACACGGGCACACACTCACACATGCACACACATGGGCACACACACACGGGCACATACACACACGGGCACACACACTCACACATGCACACACATGGGCACACACTCACAGGCACACACACTCACACACACACACCCCCGGTCCAGCCTGTCACAGTGCACTGCTGCATTTCATCTCCACGTGCCACTCCCTCTCTGGGCCCTGGGGACCTGCCGGCACCGTACTTTCAAACCTCCGGTGGCTGTCATAGTCCTCGGAGCAGGGCACCTCAATGAACCTGCCCGGCAGGACCTCGCCGCGGCGGGCCAGGACCTCGGTAATGCCGTCATCACCCCCCATACGGCTCCAGAGCAGGAGGGCGGTGAGTGCGGCGCAGGCTCCCAGCACGGTGGTCTTCAGCCCCCTCCTCGGGGCCTCCTGCTGGGCCTGGTCCTTCTTGGTGCTGAAAGAGAACACAGGCACAGCCGTCACCCCCTCAGTGGTGGGCGCTGACGACACCGATGTGCCAAGAAGACCTGCACCCTCGATTCTCACTAGTGCTGGGGTCTCTTACACAGACCCCTTGTCCACGCTGTGGCAGCTACAGAATGGGCCTTCGTGCCCCCGGCACATGTGTGAGCAGCTCGTGCATGTGCACACAGCACCCACGTGTGCTCACAGACACACCGGCGCATAGCCAGGACCAGAGCATTTGGTGGACGTGTGGAAGCGGGCAAAGTCGGGGCCGCCCCCCCATGGCTACTGGCTCCTGGTGACGAGTGTGGGCCGACAGGGTGCCCACCACTGCGCTTTGTGGGGCGGCGGGCAGCAGAGGCAGTGGGCTTCCTGATTCTAAAGGGGCGCGGGCTACAGCGGTGTCTGCCCTGTAGCTTGCAGCGTGGTTCAGTTCCAAGCTCTTGCTCTCCGGCCCTTGTGGGGTCCCCGCCCAGGGCCTGCCCCTGCAGCTGTCTTCTGTGCTCCAGAAGCACCCTCCTGCTCACAACGGTTCCAGCAACGGGAGAGCCGCAAGCTGTGCACGACCACAATGGTCGCGAGAGGCCAGGTGGACGAGACAGCGGAGGGGTCCACCTCGCTGGGAGTGGATGAGATGTGGGGCCTGCAGGTGAGGCACGGGCGAGGGGGTCCACGCTGTCCTCCCGCTCAGTCATTCCTGGGGAATCAACGGGCCTCAGTTGCCTCGAAGCTAAGTGCTTCCGTCTATGCTCCTGCCACAGGCGTGTCCACGTCAGAACAGGAGGACCCCACGATTGGCTGGAGTGCGAATGGACCAAAGAGGGAGTGTCCAGGACCCTCTAGGAGTCCTCCCAGGCTAGCTGTCCCAGCCGAGCACCCGCCGGCTCGCCCTTCCAGCTGGACCGCGGGAGGTAGCTGGAGACCACGTGCACCGCGTGCCTGCCGGGCGGGCTCCCAGAGGCCACGCCCAGAACAGGCCACGCCCACAGGTCACACCGAGCCCCGCCCCGCCTTGGCCTCGCCCAGCCCGCTGGGCCGGGCCGGTCACGCCCCAGCCACGCCCCTCATGGGCACAACACGCCCCTCCCAATCCGGGCCGCACCCGCACTGCTGCACCGCCCCGCCCCTCTCGACCAGGCCCTGCCCCTATATTCCACGCCCACATGATTGCTCCGCCCCTCCCTGCCGGCCAGGCCCCGCCCAAGTAGCCCACGACCCCACGCCTGCACCGCCCCGACTCTCCCGGCTAGGCACCTCCCTCAATGCCCCGCCCACAGGGTTGTGCAGCCACGCCTCTCCCGGCAAGCCCCGCCCCCGCCCTGCACAGGCCCTGTCCCTCGCCGCCGCAGCCCCGCGCAGTCCGCGCGCTGCCCGCCACCTGCTAGGCCGCCGCCTTTCCGCCTTTCCGCTGCCATCGGGCGCCTTGGGCGCGCCCCTCCGCTGAGGCGCCATCGGGCCAGGTCCCGGACGCGGGGACTGAGCGCCACGAGCGGTGGTGCGAGGCGGGAGCGCTACTGGGACGTGGGAGCGACGCGCTCGGCCGTCGGCGCGGCGACTGGCCGCCAGGCACGAGCAATCGGCAGCCGAGCGGCGGGGGCGGGGCGGGTGCAGTGCTTCCCGAGGGCAAAGCCGTGGGTGCCCGCGCTGGTCCCCGGGCCTGCATGTGGATGTGGACCCCGGCCGAACCGAGCCTCCGACCGGAACGCTCCCGGCTCCACGGCCTCCTGCCGCAGCGCGCGGCTCCCTGGCCGGCCTCGTTCTCGCTGAGCAGCCCCGGGCTCCCTGCAAGCTCTGGCCACGCCAGGTGGTGCGGCGAGTCAGCGGCCTCCCTGTCTGACTTCTCCCCGAACTGGCGTCAGAAGCAAGGACCGTTTGGAACAAGGACCTCTTGGTCAGTGCGCGGGAAAGCCGCTTTACTGACCTGCCGCTTTGTGTGCGCCCGTCAATTTACCTAGAGAACCTTTCCCTCCAGGTGGCACGATCTTTACCTGCTGTGGTCAAGATTCTTAAGATTCTTAGTGAGGAAGTTAACAGTGAGGTTAATTCAGGCTTCCAACTCATGGCAACTACCCCCAACACCAATTCAGGATTAAGTTTGAAGCAGCTGAATAATTGATAGTCGGAGAAAAGGACACCTAGCCTCCTTGGACTAAAAAAGAGATCTACCCAACAGTCCTGTAACTGCAAAAATAAATGTCAAATCAGACGCCACTCTGAGACCCCTAGGTGCCCTTGGTAACTGGCTTGAGCTTGAGGAATCAGCTCAGGACTGCTAGTTAATCAGAAGAAAACAGGGACAGTAGACCCAAATCCTTGAAATAATTTGTTTACCTCATGCAGAAGAGAATCAAAGTGAGGAATTAGCACACTCATTACGAGATTGAACGCCGCCTTTCTGTTTCTTTTCCTTTAGATTTACAGCAACGTGTGTTGGTAAAACAATTCTGAACGTGCGTGTGTTGCGGGTAAGAGACGCATACTCTCTTTTTAACGCAACGTTAGAAGAAATAGTCGAAGGTTTTACCTTTGAACGTGAGGAGAAGCCGTGGAGCTGCACATCAGACCACTGGATTTTCCAGCTCAAAATTTTTCTTTTAAATCTGCTACCTGGAAAATAGCTTTAGATTGTACAATTTTAAAACAAGTTTTAAAAGCATCAGAGTTTCTCAGAGTCAGTTTTCAAAACACTCTTCTATTCCTTAGCTGTTGAAGTGGGTGATTGCCTTGGGAATTACGTACTTGAGATTGCCTTGTATATATAATTTAATTTCTTTTTAAAACAATCAAAACGTGTGCATCTATTTTAGTGCTCGGCTGCTAACTGGAAGGTCAGTGGTTCAAACCCACTAGCTGCTCTCTGGGAGAAAAAGACCTGGCAATCTGCTCCCGTAAAGATTTCAGCCTAGGAAACCCTATGGGGCAGTTCTGCTCTGTCCTATAGGGTCGCTATGAGTCAGAATCAACTTGGCAGCACACGACAGCTATCTTATAGGTCCATGGATGGTGCAAATGGTTTCCCCTTGACTACTCACGTAAAAGTTGGCAGTTCAAACCCACTCGGCAGGGCCATAGAAGAAGAAAACCCTATGGAGCAGTTTTACTGTGTAACACATATGTTGCCTTGAGTCAGAATTGGGTCGACAGCAGTGGGTTTGGGTTTTTTGATTATTATAGATTCCTTAAGGTCATCTGTGGAGCCCTGGTGGTACAGTGGTTCAGTGCTATGACTGCTAACCAAAAGGTTGGCAGTTCGAATCCACCAGCCACTCCTTGAAAACCCGATGGGGCAGTTCTACCCTGTCCTGTAGGGTCACTATGAGTTGGAATCGAGTCGACGGCAGTGGGTTTGGTTTCTAGTTTAAGGTCATCTGAACATCCTTCATAGAATGAGTAGACTGAATTATTGAACTGAATATATGGCTAATGTAGAAAGATTTTTTTTTCTTTTCCAGTCTGATCCTTTTTGCTTTTATAACAGAAAAAAATAGGATTTCACTATTTCCCAGCTGTTCCATTATCATCCATGTATTTCCTTGAGTTTAATGTAAACTGCCATCAGCTCTGATATACTTGTAGTACGTTTTTCAAATTATTATTGTCTTGTCTTAAATTGTAGACGGTTTTCTCTGACTTAAAAGTAAATCGTGCAGTTTTCTTCTCCCATATAACCAAGCTGGCCTGAGCTCTAGAAATGCAAATGAATTGTAATGCTCTCCCAAATAAAGTAAAATTGAGGATTAATTTTCTACAGAAAAATCATATCATGGGGCCTGATAAAAAATGTTTAGAGATATGTCTGTTTTCAGTGACAGAGTATGTATACTTCAAGAGGATCTTTAAAACAGAAAATTAATTTGTGGTCATTTGTGTTATTATAGATCATAGCCATCTTAGAAGGAAACATGCTATTCTATTTCAGGGGCAAATCATAAATTAAATGGCAGTGGTCCCTATATTTGTACATGGAGAGACTTCTCGATTATCGTTTTAGTAAAATGAGTTTCCTCATAGCTAATAAAGCAAAACTGGCCAATACCGGAACTGAAACAGAAAGTGTAAGGAGACGGGCAGAAGGGAGAAGTCTGTTCCCCTATTTATAACTCCGAGTTTCTCTTCTAGGAGGAAGTGCCCAGACAAGGTTTTGGTGTAGGAGTTCACAAAGAACGTTGAAATGTCGGGCTCCTCGCCATTTGGGATGCGGGTGGTTCATTTGGACCTTAAAGGAGCACCACCAAAGGTCTCGTACCTCTCGGAGGTAAGGATTCCTTTTTCCTCTAGAGAATCACTTTTTGCCTTGGGTTCAAGCTTTCAAGTTATGAACAATATTCTGTAGAAATGCGTGCTTAGAACACAACCATGGAGTTCTAAGTTGGGGCAAGATGGTAGCAGTTGCATAGACTTTTAATTTTCCCAAATCCCTTCAAAACAAAACAGAGCAACCAGAGTAGCAAAAGAAAACAGAAAGAAAGAAAGAAACCCACAACCTCTTCAACAAAACTAGGTGCCAGGGTGTGCCTGTGAATGCCTCACGAATACAAGTGAGTGATGCCAGACTGTAGACAGCATAACATCCGTGTGTGATTTATAGCCGGGCAAGGGGTGTTAGAGGGAGGAGAAGGGGAATGCCAAGAGTGCAAAGATCAGAGGATACAGAAGACAGTCCAAAAAGCAAAGGTTTCCCTTCAGACAGAAACTAGGAAAAGGTTTCACAGGCTCCAATTGAGGGTGAGTGCAAAAACACACAAAAGAAGGTGCTGAGGAGGCCCAAGACCTCAATGCTCTCAGAAATACCTAACAGAAACTCCCTTCCAGAGGACAGAGCCCCACACTGAAGGCAAATGTTGGGAAGAAGTCCACATTGAGCTGGGCAGGAACACTCAGTAAAAGGGAGAGAAGTTTCAGATACTGGGGAATGGGATCTAGAGGGGCCAGATATAAAAAATTACTGGAGGTAGCTACACAGAGTCCATTATTTCATGGTAACAATAGAGAAGGGAGCCCTGGGGCTGGCCCATCTCTATCCCAAATACAAGAACATGTTCTTAGAAGTACGAGAAAATGCGTCTCATTTTAAAACGAGCAACAGAAAAGGATTATAGTTAAACTCCCTACAAAGACACTGTAAGAAAAAAGGATAATTATCTCAATAACATTGTAACAGTAAAGAAGCACCAGGAACATAGGACCACAGAGCAGGTAGAACAGTATGATAACATTTGCAAATGAGATAAAAGATATTAAGAAAATGATAGAAGCTATGAAAAAACAGCACAAATGGGAAGTATAAACTCTCAGCAATTTGATAACTGGACAGCAGGAAGATGCAAAAGGATTGCTGATGGAACTCAGGAACAAATTATAAATAAAAAGAAAAAAGTTTCAGAAATGAAGACTAAACTACAAGAGGCACTGAAGTGAGTAAACACTGTGGAAAGTACAGTATTGAGAAATAAATGACAGAAAGGAGAAAAAATGAAACATCAAGAAAGGTGTGTTTAAAAAAGCATTGTAACAAACCCATAGCTATTGAAGATTGGCAACGAAGACCCAACTTAGGTGTAACTGGAGTCCCTGTTTCACTCATCTGTCGCTGCATGACAGACCACCCCAAACTTCAGGGTTTAAGACAATATGTTCCCCCTCATGTGTCTGTGGCTACTCTGACCTGGGCACCCTCATGTGATTGGCGTCACGTGGCAGCTGGAAGTGCCTGATGGTCCAGGATGGCCTTACTATGTGTCTGGCAGTCAGCTTCCTTTCAGCATGGTGGTCTCAGGGCAGTGTTGCAAGAGGCAAGGGCAGAAGCTGCAAGTCATCTTTAGGCCTGAAGAACTAGGGCCTCTCAGCTTACACTGTGTCACTTACTATTGATAAAGCAAGTCCCAAGGTCAGCCTAGATTGAAGGGATGGGAACTGACTCCACCTCTTGGTGGGAGAAACTGCACCATAGTGTAGGGGACAACAGTCCCGAAGAAGAGCGCCAAAGCAATGGTGCAGGATGATGCTAAGAAACTTCAGCTCAAAAAGACTTCCCTGGTACAAAAGAATGCTTGAGTCTGCCTCCTGAAGGGGCATGCCACGTACCTGGGAAGCTGTATCCAGAATGACGTGCACCATCACATTTTCTACTAAACATGTCAGATGTAGAAAATGAAAAAATCTGTTGGGCATCTAGGAAAAAGGCCCGAGTCATTTATAAGGGAAAGAAAATCAGATCAGCATCAGACGTTTTGACAGCAACATTCCATGAAGAAGATAAGGGAGTAGCACGTGTAAAATAGCAAAAAATAAAAGCGAATCCAGAAGTTTCTATCCAGTCAAATTGGTCTTCAGGTATAAAAGCCACAGGCCAACTATTATAAACATCTAAGAACTGAGAGAATTGACTAAAGACCAAGCTTCAGATAACCGAGAAAGGATTTTGGAAACTCTCCAAAATGTTTACACCCCACATATAGGTAGATAGAAAGATGGGAAAGACATAAACCAAAGTGTTAACCGTTGTGGTGGTATCATTGATGGGTCTCCTTTTCTTTATACTGTTCTATTTTTCTTCCTACAATACTATCTATCTCCACAGGCTAAAGAGGAAAATGTCTCCACTCTGCGTTTATGTCCGTTTGTGTTCAAATGATCCCTGCTTCATAACACCCCCTTCTCTTCCCCCAGATTTTTCCTCTGTTCCATGCCCTGGGTGCAAACGCCCTCCTCATTGAATATGAAGACATGTTTCCCTACGAGGGCCACCTAAAGCTGCTGAGGGCCAAACACGCGTACAGGTATCTCCCTGGCAACCGACCGCCTCCTTGCAGAGAAAGTAGTGGGGATTCAGGGTGCGGGTGGGGTGGGGCAGCAGCCTGGAGAATTCAACAGTGCTGGGAACATTCCTTTTCTGTCTTCAAATGTATTTCTTTTTTGATAAAAATAAAACATGTTCAGTAATGAAAATCTGGAAAAGTTTGAAAAAGAAAATAAGCAATGATGACCCTACCACAAGGAAAAGCTGCAATTCCTGTTTCAGGAAGTGCTTTCCAGTCTTTTTCACCTATAGACAGGAAGTATGTTGAGAATGCTTTGGCAGGTGATGATCCAAGGGGTGGAGGGCTGCTCTTTAAGGCCAGTCCGGCTCTTCAGCTGGGAAAGTGACAAAGGGGGAGATGATCTAAATCAGATCAGATATGGTGTGGTCAGGGGGCACCCCGTTGATTTTAACATTATGGATCTCCATGTAAATCAATAACCAATAGCCCAGAAGAAGAATGGGCAAGGGCCTTAATTGGCAGACCCCGAAAGAAGAAATAAGAATGGCCAATAAGCATATGAGAAAATGTTAAACCTCTCTTAGTAATCAGAGAGGTTAGAACAATATGTTGTTGTTGTTAGGTGCCATCAAGTTGGTTCCAACTCACATCGACCCTCTGTACAACAGAACAAAACACTGCCCAGTCCTGCGCCATCCTCAACAATTGTTGTTACGCTTGAGCCCATTGTTGCAGCCACTGTGTCAGTCTATCTTGTTGAGGGTCTTTCTCTTTTTTGCTGTCCCTCTACTTTACCAAGCATGATGTCCTTCTCCAGGGACTGGTCCCTCCTGCTAACATGTCCAAAGTATGTGAGATGAAGTGTCACCACCCTCCCTTCTAAGGAGCATTCTGGCTGTACTTCTTCCAAGGCAGATTTGTTCCTTCTTCTGGCAGTCCATGGTATATTCAGTATTCTTTGCCAACACCATAATTCGAAGGCATCAATTGTTCTTTGGCCTTCCTTATTCATTGTCCAGCTTTCACATGCATATGAGGCGATTGAAAATACCATGGCTTGGGTCAGGTGCACCTTAGTCCTTAAATAACAATGAAATGCTATTTTTGGCTACCAAATTGGTGAAGCTTTTTAAAGAAATTACAATGGTCTGTGTTCATTAGAGAGAAAAAACAAAAATACTTGTGGCGGAAATGTATAGTGATTCAGTGATTCAGCTGTTTTGGGGGACCGCTGGGCTCTGTGCATTGAAGCGCTCCAAAATGCTCACACCCACATGTGTGTAGGTGGAAGATAGGAAGGATGCAGAACAAAGTCTTAGCCACATCGTGGCGAGATGACTGATGGGTTTCATTTCTTTATACTATACCATCATTCTTCTACAAGGAACGTGTTTTTTTTTTTAAGTGAAAAAGGTAGTGGGGTCCCTTTGAAGCTTGAAAAGGGTATATTCAAGGTAAAGATAGAATTTATACAGTAGATAATAAATTTGTAGAATTAGCTTAAGATCAAACATATACAGAAACTAGCAGTCATGTTTTAAGTTGCAATAAATTCGTAAGTAACAACTCATGAGAGAGCTTGCGAAAAATCCAGAAGTTGATGGAGCAGCCAGTCCTCCCCAGGAAGGGGCCCTGGGGCTGATGTGAGCTACAGTGTGGGCCTGGGGCACGTCCAGTCTCCGGCAGGTTCCCTAAGAGTGTGGGAGGTGGGATTTGCAGATGGGGATGCTAACTCTACTAACAGATGGGGTTACTTGGCAGAATCTTGAAACTAGAGCACAGGCCTGCTGGCTTCTGCACCACCTTCCTCTCTCTCCACTAAAGGGTAGGCAAGGCTTTCCTGTTGGGTGAGGTAGTACATGTTGCAGGCTGTGAGGGCCATTTGACCTCTGTTGCAACCATTGGATTCTGCCCTTGAGGCGCAAAGGCAGCCATAGATGATACGAAAATGAGGGGATGGGCTTGAGTGCCAATAAAACTTTATTTGTGGACACTGAAGTTAGAATTTCATACTGTTTTCCCATGCCAAGAAATATTCTTTTTTTGATTTTCTTTCAACAATGTGAAAACCATTCTCAGGTGGTAGGCTGTACAAAAACAGGGGACTGTCCAGATTTGCCCTGCGGCCAGGGTTTGCCACCCCTGCTCTAGAATCTGATGTCTTGTCTAGCCCAGTTTCTTGTAAAATGCAGATAACTTCAGTCTCCTGTAGTTTGGGTGAGAATAGCTAGTAAAAAGCAGATGTAACTAGAAGACATGGTAGAGCATCGTTTTCCTGATTTCTGGCATGGGAGCCTTCCCTGAAACCTTCAGTATCCTGTTGACTTCTGAGGAGGCAGCAACCTCACTGGCCCAGGAAGGTCCTTGGGAACCTGATGGGAAGGAGTGTGCTGGCCTGGGGGAGTATGAGCAGAGCTGTGCTGGGGACATTGCCGTGAACTCCTTCAGGTGACTTTTGTCTCTCCAAACCAAAACCAAGCCAAACCCATTGCTGTCGAGTCGATTCTGACTCATCGAGACCCTATAGATAGGGTAGAACTGCCCCAAAGCGTTTCCAAGGCTGAAATCTTTATGGAAGCCGACTGCCATCTCTCTCTCCCATGGAGCAGCTGGTGGGTTTGAACCTCTGACCTTTCAGTTAGCAGCCAAGTGCTTCACCAGTGCACCACCATTGCTCCTTTTTCTCTCTCCAGCCCCTCTGAAATCAGAGAGATCCTGTACCTGGCCAGACAGAGTGAGCTGGAGGTGATCCCTTTGGTGCAGACGTTTGGGCACATGGAGGTAAGTGGGGAGATGGGAGTTACCTGTGCCCAGGTGTGGGGCTTGCGCCACAGGCTGGCCAGCTGAGCGCTAAGGTGTGTGAGCAGCAGGGCCCAATGGAGCGCAGGCAGCACCCCAGGGGTGGGCTGGCGGGGAGCTGCTCTGAGCAGTGCGAAGCTCCAGGTCAGTGCGTCTCCACCTGGAGAGCCAAGAGAAAGGCAGAAAGGGGATGGCGGGACTCCACTAGCCCGGTGGGGGCAGGGTGGGCCGGGGTATTTTTTTCTTTCTAATTTGTTCACAAAACACTGCGAGGTAAAACTGCAGTATGAAAAAGAAAAGGCGTTTTCTGTATTGCTGTCTGGTCTTTGGCTGTGAGCATCCATACCTTGGCCTGGTTGTAATCCTCCCTCGCCACGACTTTGTGCCTTCTCACTTAATGTTGAAAATATTTTTCAGGCTCCTCTGTTTTCCAGAAGAGCCTGTATAGGATCGGTCTAGTCTCTTCTTTACAGTGACGCCATCTGTGCCTAGGATTGCCTTTTCATGAAACGGGTTGGTTTTTGTTCTTTAGGCATCTCTCATTATCTTTTTAAATTAACACGCAGTAAAATGGGCTGTTTTTGTCATACCGTTCAAAAACAAACACAATAAAAACAGCCCAATGCCATCGATTTGATTCCGACCCATAGCCACCCTGGAGGATGGAGTAGAACTGCCCCGTAGGGTTTCCAGGGAGTGGCTGGTGGATTCGAACTGCCCACCTTTTGGTTAGCAGCCATATCACTTAACCACTGCGCCCCCAGGGTTCCTCTTATCTCACAGTTCTGTGCATTTGACACAGGTATGACGTGTGTGACACCCCCCGCCCCCAGGCAGGGCACAGAGCAGCCCCTCTGCCCCACAAAACTTGTGCTGCCTTGGTAGCCACCCTGTGGCCACAGTTCTGTTCTCTGTCACGATGGCTTTGTCTTCAGGAATGTCACAGAACTGGAACCATACAGCACGTAGCTTGGCGAGGACACACCGTTCCTTGACGACTTTCCCCGCTGGTTCACCTCCGCGCCTTTGTCAGCTACTGGCGGCGGTTTGTTGTTGGTTGGTGAGCTGCCTGGATTTAGTCGGCTTGGGCTGTCTCCCCGTCGGTGTGTGCCACTGATGTCTCTGCCAGGTTTTTTATTCTTAGTTTTATTAGCCCGGCTTCTTAAGGGTCGGCCCTCTGTCTTGATAGCTGGTGGTCAGCCAAGGTTTGACCAAGGTTGTGCCAACACCTTGAGCCGGGAAGACCTCCGCACTGGCCTGCGTGTGGATCGGGGCACTCGAAGTTCAGCCAGGTCTCAGGCTCTGCCAGCCCTCTCGGGCCTCCCCACGTGTGTGTGTGTCCCGTCAGCTGCCGCTGTGAGGACAGCGTGAGGAGCCCTCTGGGGCCCTCTCATTGGCAAGGTCTCCCCAGTAAATTTCTGTGGGGTCGCCGTTCACCCCAGCGGGGACTGCGCCATCGGGCTGGCAGAATTTGTCCAGTTTTTATCGTTTTTGAAGAGAAGACTTGCCGACCCTTTACACCACCATAGCCAGAAGTCTGCTCAGCCTGTAATTCTGGATGTGAAGAGAACCTGTCTTCTCACAGCATTATCACTCAACCCAGTCAGGACGTGTAAAATGGTAGTAGTAACGATAACAGTGTCATCAAAACCTGTCTAACTTCAGGGGGGATGATGTGAATCAAGATGAGCCCAAGGCTGATTCCCAGGAGGTGGAGGTCAGACAGACCTCCACCCTCCAACCTTTTTCTCTCCAACCAATTCTGACACCAGCCGTCCCTCCCACAGCACTCTCTACTTTTCATCTGGGTTCGATAATCCGTTGCAATGGCACATGGAACTCACAGACCATACCTACAGTCAAGCGGTTTATTAGGGAACAGGTTACAGCGCAGGCTGAGGATGAGGAAGCTTGCAGGCCGTCTCCCTTCAGTGCAGGCCAGCTCTCTCAGCTCCTCCTGGCCACGCAGGCCTCCTCTCAGCCCCCTGAGCACAGGCTCCTCTTGGCCCTGCTGTTTGTCACCACTGGCTCTGCCGTTGGGCCTGGGGCTGTTGTCATTTTCAGTGTTATAACCCTTGACATGGGTTACAGCTCTTTTAGGAAGTTCCTTGCCTTCTCTCTCTCTGCTTCTTCTCTCTTCTTTCTGCCTTTCTTCCCTCTTCTTTCTGTCTCAAAAACCTCTGTTGAGCTGGCTACTTAAATACACAAACTGCTGGTCAATTTCAAGGAGTGGCATTCCCACCAGGGCCCCAAACTGACCAGTCCTTTCTCAGTAGTCCACAGATACTTCATTTACATAACAGGCCACAACTCACCTCATTTGCATAGTCAATTGACCAATCCCTGCCAGTGTGTAAAATAGACCAATCACAAGGCAGGCTGCAGCCCAGGAGCAGACAAAAAGTATCAAACCTCAAGTTGTTCACAGCTTACCCAGGAAATGTAACAAACCCTCTGGGGTAGAATACTAGGGCAAAGTAACTCCTCTTAGGGGGAAGCTGTTTTTCCAAAGAACCAAGGCAAGACGCCACATAAAGGAACTCATTTCACCAGAAGATTGGAAGGTATAAGGAAGGTCACTGTCAAGCCAGCTAGGTTACTCAGAACCCAGCTGGGAGCAGGTTCAGGAAGACACTGGCATACTTGATGCCCTGGAGCTTTCTGGGGAGTCAGGAGCAAAGTGGTTGAAACAGAGAAGCCACGTGTCTGTCCGAGGCAGAGCCAGGAGCTGGGCCTTTCTTCTGGCCTTGGCCTTGCCCAGTCCGGGGATAGATGAGTGCCCGAAGGCGCCCAGGCTTTTCTCTCTCCCTCTCTCTCCCCCTCTTTCCCTCTCCCTCCCTCTCTCTCTCTCCCTCTCCCTCCCTCTCTCTCTCCCTCTCCCTTACTCTCCCTCCCTCTCTCTCCCCCTCATTCCCTCTCCCTCCCTCTCTCTCTTTCTCAGCAGTGTCACAACCCCACCCATGACTGTCATCTCTCCACAGTTTGTGCTGAAGCACAACACGTTCGCTCACCTCCGGGAAGTGGCACTCTTCCCCAACACTCTGAACCCCCACGAGGCGGAGTCGCTAGTGCTGGTGGGAAGCATGGTGGACCAGGTCATGGAGCTGCACAGGGGTGCCCGGTGGCTGCACATCGGTTGTGACGAGGTGGGGTCCCTCTTACCCCTTCCCTGGCCGGCGGGGTGTGCTGTCCTGAACTTCTGTGGCATTCTTCTGTTTATTTCCGCGTCTCCTTCTCCCATGATGTGGTTTCTTCTTTTACATAGAAAAGCTGTCCAGCTAGGAAAGTATAAAGACAGGCTTGCCAAGGAGACAGTCCCCATTTAGGGAACCCTATGATCGGGGTCCATTCTGGCTGGTGTCTCCGGGAGGGAGGGCCAGGCACAGGCATACCGAGCAGGCTCTGGAAGAAGCAGCCCCCGGAGGCGCCCCCGTGTGCCAGACAGGACCCCCCTCGGGATGGGCTGTCCTGGGCCCTCAGCAATGGCAAGTTCAGGCATGTGGGACCTGGCAGTAGACGTGAGTTTGAGCGCGTTACTTCCTTCCAACTAAAATGGGTTTTGGGTGGTGAAAGGAAGGAACTAGTATCTTTGGCCTCTGAAGCACTGGCTGGGAAAGGTGGTATCCTAGGGGGCACCCAGTGATATGACCTCCCACCCCAAGGGGCGACCCACCTCCGCCTCTTCTGCTTCCCTGGCTCAACTTCTGATGTCACAGACGAGCCTGGGGAAGGTCAAACCGGCTGAGACCAGGGCCGCTGAGCATGTAACTAGGGGCCTGAACAGGGACAGGGCTGCCAGCGTTTCAGCCCCAGACACTGACTTTTTCTTCAAAATAATCTTTTTTTTAGTTGTAAAATACACACGTGAGATTCACCATCGTAGCTACTTTAAAGTATATGGTTCAATAGCATTTAGTACGTGCACCGTGTTTGCGACTCTCACCTCTGTCTGGTTCCGGACGAACGCCTGTTCCCATCAGTAGTCACGCCTGCCCACCTCCCCCAGCCCCTGGCATCACTCACTCACTTCCCGTCTCTGTGCATCTGCCTGTGGCGGGCGTTTCACGTAAATGCGTCACACAGTACGTGGCCTTGTGTGTCTGGCTTCCTGCTCTCAGCAGTTTTCAGGGTTCATCCCCCTGGTAGCATGCACCAGTGCACCAGGACTTCGTTTCTCTTTATGGCTGAGTGACACTCCATTGTGTGGATGGACCACCTTCTGTCTGTCTGTTCATCCATCGATGGACACTGAAGTCATTGCCACGTTTTGGCTATTGCCAACCGTGCTGCTGTGAACATCCATGGGAAGTCCTGAGGGGAAGCTTAGGTCCTTGAGCTATCACAGCGGGTCACTGGTGGAGTGAGGTTCCGAGCCTTGCCACCCCCCTCCAGCTGCCCCTGAGATGCTCCAGGACTCCCTCCGCGGGGTGCTCGGTAGGGACCGGCTGGTGCCAGTTCTCTTCCTTCCTTCCAGGTCTATTACCTTGGGGAGGGGGAGGCCTCGAGGCAGTGGCTGCAGCAGGAGCACAACAGCAAAGCCAAACTGTGCCTGTCCCACGTGAGGGCCGTGGCCAGCCACGTGCTCGCCCGGCACCCCGCCACGACGCCCCTGGTGTGGGATGACATGCTGCGAGACATGCCCGAGGACCTTCTGGAAGGTTGGACCCCACCCCCACCCCACCCCACCTCCAAGCGGGCCGTGCCTGGGCAGGGGAAGGTGGAGGGAACCGAGCTCAGCTTCTCTGAGACCTCACACTTCTAGGAAGAGATAAACCACAGTCAACTTTTCAAAAGGTCAGCAGTTCGAATCCACCAGGCGCTCCTTGGAAACACTACAGGGCAGTTCTACTCTGTCCTGTAGGGTCACTGTGAGTTGAAGTTGACTTGATGGCAATGGGTTTTTTAAAAGTCTCCAGAAGCTTTCAGCTCCAGGCAGCCCTGCAAGAACCTGCTTCTTTGTAAATGGCCTTTTACACACAACGCTGGAGTTAAGAGCGTTGCCACAAAGGCCGTTTTTAGTGTCTTGTGGGAGTGCGGGAGCAGTGCAGGTGGGTCCCGAGACCAGGCAGACGGGCTGGTGAAAGAGGGCTGAGGGGCCAGGGTGTCTGCTGCCTGCTCTGGCCGCCCTAGTCGGCAACCTTGGCCAGGATGTCCCCTGTGGCCAGCCCTGCCGGGAAACCGGGTTGAAGTCCACATCTACAGCTGGACCGATGAGCAAGGCGGTGGGGGAAACAGCCCCTTGCCCACCCCAGGAGCCATGCTCTGCTGAGACTGCCTGCCGGGTGAGAGCTGATGAGGCCGCCCGCCAGGAGCCAGGTCTGCACTCACACCTGTGCCAGTGGACACGGCCACCGTGAGAGGCGATGTGCCTGCCCTGGGGCCAAAGTCAGGCCGTGTCCTACGGCAGCCTGCCTGTCACTGCCCGTCTGCCAGGAGAGATTCTACAGCAGAAGTGTCCTAGCTGGTGGCCACTAGCCAAAGGTAGCCACCTAGATCTAATTGAGGCTAACTGGAATGAAATCAGAACGGTCTGCTCCTTGCTCACATGGGTGGCCCCCGCGTGGGGCACCACGATGCAGCACGTCTCCATGCTCTCAGACAACCCCCCACACGGCACATCTCCATGCTCTCAGACAACCCCCCACACGGCACGTCTCCATGCTCTCAGACATCCCCCCCCACACACACAGCATAGCCTGGGGTGGGATGGCAACTCCCCCTTTAAGGGACCCCAAGTGGCGCGGAGCAGCCCTGGTGGAGTAGCAATTAAAGCACTCAGCTGCTAACCAAAAGGTTGGTGGTTTGAACCCACCAGCCACTCTTCGGGAGAAAGGCGTGGCCATCTGCTTCCATAAAGATTTACAGCCTTGGAAACCTGTGGGGCAGCCCTACTCAGTCCTATAGGGCCGTTGTAAGCCGGAATCGCCTGGATGGCAGTGGGTTTTTTGGAACCTGAGTGGGGTCGTTTCCAAAGCAGCCGTCAGTTTGTGTGTGTGGGTTTATCGCCCAGAGCAGCCGTGTTGAGTCAGGACATAGGATCCGTCGGGGGGGACGGTGTGGTCCCCCGGCCCGTGGGAACGTGTCCTCCGTGTCCCCGCAGAGTCGGGCTTGCCGCACCTGGTGGAGCCAGTGCTCTGGGACTACGGGGCCGACCTGGACGTCCACGGCAAGGGTCAGTACCGTACGGCAGCCCCACTGTCCGTCTGAGCACCCCCAGGTGGGGTGAGCGGGCACCTCCAGGGCGTGACTGACCCAGATGCACTCGATCGTTGTCAAAGGCCACGGCGCAGTTTGCTCCCTGCTTCGCCCCTGCCCCACCCTGGGCTCCCCGAGATCCCCTCATCTGCGTCCTGCTGCCAGATCGTTCCCCAGGCCTTCCTTCTGCTCCCTGTTTACAGCGTGTTCCTCATGAGCACATAAACACGGCCATTTTTACACCACAGGGCCTCTTTCTAAAGGAGGCTGAGCCCCTTGGTGCTGGACCCCGCAGTGGGTGCCCAGTGTTTCAGCTTGGGTGAACATGTCCTGAGGGACGTGTTTGCAGGGGCTCCACCCAGCTGCCCCTTGGGAGCCGGGACTGTCATGCCTGCTTGTTTTCTCTCCTCAGTCCTTCTCATGGAAAAGTTCCAGAAGTGCGGCTTTCCCCGGCTCTGGGCTGCAAGTGCATTCAAGGGGGCCACAGGGGCACACCAGGCGCTGACCCCCGTGGAGCACCACCTCCAGAACCACCTGCAGTGGCTGCGGGCGGCACGGGCCGGGCCAGCTGGGGTGCTGCAGGGCATCGTGCTGACCGGCTGGCAGAGGTGCGAGCCTGGGCCACGGAGCCCCATCCCATGGGACCTGTGGTGGGGAGCCTGGTCTTGGAGGGCAGGGAGGCCTCCCAGGGACCCAGGGACCCGGGTACCCAGAACAGGGTGGGGACCCCACGTCGGGCTGAGCCCTCTCTGGGCCGCAGGTACGACCACTTCGCGGTGCTGTGCGAGCTGCTGCCTGTGGGGATCCCATCGCTGGCCGTCTGTCTGCAGTCACTGCTGCAAGGTACGTGTCCGTGCACACCCCACGTGACAGCCCACAGCCACTGCCAGGAAGGTGGGCTAATCCTCACCCACCGCTCACCCGGCTTGGCTGTGGTCTTCCTCTCAGAGGAGCAGGGTAGCTGGAGCAGGACGTGCTCTCAGGGCCGTGAGGGTGGCTTGGCCCCTGCCTGTCTGGCTGTCGGTCCACCCTGGGCTATCCTCCACCCGCATGGGGCCAAGGTCTTCCCAGGTGTGGCGCTGCTCTGAAGCTCTGATGTGACAGCACATTTCATGTCATTAATGGAAGCGGCAGCCCATCCCTATAGAGGGAGGGACCCGTGGCCCCGAAGGTCACCAGGTCACTGAGCGAGGCTGTGCTGGCCGGCAGCCTCCCTTCTACTGGGGCCGGCGCCGTGGGGCCAGCACAGGGTGAGTCCTGTTCGTCTGTTGGCTGCAGGAGGCTTCAGCGAAGAGGTGAAAGACAGGGTGGAATGCTGCCTTGGGGTTGCGAGTCTGGACATAGCCAACTTTACGTGGTACGAACCCCAGCCCCTCGACCCCTCACTCATGAACCCCAGCCCCTCGATGAGACCACTGTTCTTACCCTCACCCCCGTCTCAGCAGGGAGGGCGCCGGCTCCTTCCCTGGCAGCGACATTCTCGCCCTTGTCACTCAAGTCAGCCTCCACCTGCGGAGCTCCGTGGAGGCCCTGCTGGACGGGAACAGGTGAGGAGCCTCTATCCTCACCGCCTGCTCAGGTGGGACAGGGCCTCCACGTTTTCTTCCCAATTCCTCTGGGGCCACCTAGCTGGACACTGGGCCCAGCAGGGGTGTGTGGTTTGTCCAGGTACGTGACTGGCTGGTTCAGCCCCTACCACCGCAGGCGGAAGGTCGTCCACCCCGTCATGGTGCAGCACATCCAGCCTGAGGTGCTCAGGTAACGGCCTTTGCCAGCTCCTGCAGCCTCCTCCTGCGGCCTCCCCGCAACCCCGGGCCCTCCTCCCGCGGCATCCACACCAGGCCCTCCTCCCGCGGCCTCCCCCCAACCCCGGGCCCTCCTCCCGCGGCCTCCCCCCAACCCCGGGCCCTCCTCCCGCGGCCTCCCCCTAACCCCGGGCCCTCCTCCCGCGGCCTCCCCCCCGGGCCCTCTTTCCTCATGGGTGGCTCCTGCAGGCACCCCCTTAAACTAGAACAGGCCTCCATGTCCTGCCTGGGTGTTCTGACATCCTTCACACCGAGCTGGGTCCTGTCGCTCAAGCGCCCCCTCTGGTGTTAGAGTCCGAGGGTGAGCGTGTCTGGCGGCCGGTCACCTGTGCGCCGGGACCAGGGGCGGTCTCCTGAGGAGCCAGGCTGAGCTTGCCACCGCCATCCTGTTGGGCAGTGACAGCTACGTGCTCTGTGCTGACTCACAGAGACGGTCTCACCGACGGTGAGGCCCAGCCAACCGATGTCACAGCAGGACACGCTCACACCTGTTTCCTCCCAACCATCTGCGCGGGGGGCGCCTGCAGCCCCGTTGAACGGACAGCTGCAGAGGTCGCGTGCTGGGTACTGTGCCCATGAGCTCACAGCGCGTGTCCTCCCAGCCTCCTGGCCCGCTGGGGCGCCCTCGTGCAGGAGCTGGAGGCCGCCCTGAAACGCATTTTCTACCCGGATGCCGTGGAGGAGTGGCTCGAGGAGAACGTGCACCCCAGTCTGCAGAGACTACAGGGCCTGGCCCAGGACCTCAGCGAGGCTGCCGCCCCTCCAGCCCCACCAGCCAGCCCCACGACCAGGCAGGGCCCCTGAGGACATGCAGGAACCCCACAAGACAGGGCCCCTGAGAACACACGGGGACCCCATGACCAGACACAGCCCGAGAACACACGGGGACCCCCCCCACCCTTGTGCCCTGGCCTGAGAGCACAGACCTCCCCCTGCCCCCAGCCGCGTGCAGGGGCACTTGGGGGCGGGAATCATCCAAGTGGAAAACAGGAAAAGGCACCTCAGAAGCTGTGCTGTGACCTGCACATGGAGGTGGTTACTGCTTTTGAACTGAAAAGAGCGTGAGAACTACAAATCACACTAATATGAGTCTGAAAACAGTATTTTATTATTGTCTGGTTTTATGCTTGGTTTTCAGTGGGGGTCTTCCAACACCGCCTTGTGCTGTCCCGAGAGACCCTTCCCCTCTCCCTGAGCCGAGGAATGCATCCTCCTCTCCTGGGGGTGAGCCAGGACCTCCCTCCCCTGTTGTGGAATGTTTTCAGCCCTAGGGATGAACACACCAGAGACTGATCACAGCATTTTACACTGTTTTAGGGGGAAAGAAAGCATTTTAAAAAAACCTCGGCATGTTTAAACATCTGGCCCCAAGCTAAGGGCTGGTGGCTGCCATTACCCGAGGTGAAGGGGAAGGTCCCCCCTGCTCTCCAGAAACTGCCGTCCAGCTGCTGACTTTGCACCGCTGGGGGCCACCCTCTCCCCACCGCAGCTATGTCTAATCCCCAAAACAGGAAGTGTCTCGCTGCCCCCTCAGAACCATGGAGCAAAACCTCACCCTTCCGAGGCCCTAAGTGGGAGGCCTGGGGCAGCCTCAGACCTGGATCAGGGGCCTTGTGGGGCCAACGCCAACTGGGAGGCCCCAGCTCCGAGGCCAGGGACAGGCACGTTCACCTGGAAAAGGGAGGCTGCCTTTGCGGGGACCTGGGTTCAGGGAGGTAAGAAAACCAGCAGAGCGGGCACAGGGCGGGGTGCTCGCAGCCCCAGAACCCCGCTGAGGGGCAGCCAAGCAGAGACACAGCCCAACCCCAATCGTTCAAGACAAGCTGGAAAGAAATCAGGGTTTTCACATGAACGCTCCTGGGTTTCCGATGGTCTTAAGCTTCAAACGCTACTTAAGGCTGCAGAAGCTGACCTCTTCTTGCCAAACGGCTCGGGCCAAGGATGGAGGGGAAGGACGGCACCATGGCTCACGGCCCGACCACGGTCCTGTGGTTCCTGATGGCACTGCTGGGGCACCACTGCAGTGTCCCTGATGCCAGGACACCTGCATCCCAGCCCCACCAGCAGCTGGGCCTTCCAGGGCCCGAGGGCTGGGCGTCCAGCCAGAAAGGGGGTACTGTTGGCGGCAGGGGTGGGGAGGGTTGCTCTTGGGATTTCTGAGGCCCCACTGCAGGCGTCCACAGCCACCAAAAGCCCTAGCCCTGGAGTCCGGCAACTGTGGCCCAGCTCTGGCCAGCATCACTCCCCATCTGAAGTGCCCTCTTGGGTGCAGATGCTCCCTGGAGACAGCCTGGCTGCCCGCTGGCTGCAGAGGCTCCAACCCCCAGGCACAGGGCTGAGTCCCATCTGTGGAGCCGGGCAGTCACTCAAGGCCCCACCAGTGACCGCCCCAATTCAAGGTTCTGAGATGATGTTTTCACCAGTGGGGGAGGGCTGAGCCCAGGCCCCTCAACACCCCGGAGGCAGCCACCCTCTGTGCCTCTCCATGCAGATGTCCTGCCTTCAGGAGGCCGCAGACAAGGACCGTGTTAGAGAATAAAAGCAAGCGGCAGACGGGCCGACGCTGGGCAACGCAGGCTCGTGGGGAAGGGTGTGCCCGAGACTCCCCCACCGCAGCTGCCGGGGATGCCGCCATGGGGGGAGGCCCGGGCCGTCAACTGTGGCCCCCTGCGTCAGGGTCACTGTCACTGCTCTGAGACACGTCCCTGGGGCTCTCTGGACGGTGCAGTTCCAGGAAGCTGGTGATGAGCTTGGCGATGGCTTCCACATCGCTGGGTGAGGCCATCGAGAGAAGAAAGAAATTACCTTGGGCCAAGAGTCAGCCCTCATCCCCCCACCCCCGCCCCACCCACAGAAGGCCACCCCGGGGCACCTCAGCGCTCCCCACCCCCATACCCCTCCTCATCTGTTCTCCTCAGAGACGACCCCTCCCCCACCCTGGACCCTCTCCGCTCTCCACATCATCCTTTCCACCACCGGCATGGACACTGGGCCTGGCCTCTCCTCTCCTCCTCCCACCTCCCCCACCCCACCCCCTGCCATGGAGACGCCCTGATGTCCCTCACCTCCCCCCGCCACTTACCTGCGGTGGCCCATGACCGCGCTCTGGGTGAGGGGGTGCGAGAAGCCCGTTGCAAAGCGCAGCACCACCACATAGCCCTTCCCGAAGTACCGGACCTTCTCTTCCTCCACGTTCACATCCCGGATATCGCTCAGCGGGACCACCACTAGGGGCACAGGTCAGTGGCTCACCCCCACCTGCCCACCCCGCATCTGCAGACATTGTTAACCTTCCACCACCAGGGGCAAAACCCCTGTGACTTTACGTCAAAGGGTGGCCTCCACGGGTGCTGCCTGGCCCCCTAACTTAGATGGCACACAACGAATAACCCATTCAGCGTCATGAGTAAACCTGGAACTTTAAGGGAGGTGCTGACTACTGGTCACCCCTAGTCTGAGTGAGGGAAGCCCTCACATCGACTGCGGTTGGCAGATCAGCAACCTGTGACGTTGCTGTCATGACAGCTGTGATCCCTGCAGGCTTGCTGGTGGCCACTGAGACACTCATCCGCAATGAGTGTTCAGTCTAACACGTCGGGGATCAGTTAGGCACACGCTGCCCCCCTCTGCTTTCCTTTCGTCCCCAGTTGCTGGAAAATGCCTTCCTGGCCCTAAGCGAGGGATGGCCCACAAGTTGTGGGGGCAGCTGCGGGGAGACCCCCACTCAGGTACCTGGGTGGCCTCACGATCCTGCAGCCCTGGACAGCCATCTGAAACCTCAGCACAGGCCCCAGAGCTGCCCACAGCCCGACGCCAGGCTGCATTCCTCTCCCCCCAGCCACGCCCCAGGTGACCCCAACTCCCGGTCCCCTGTAGGCCAAGCCTCTGAAGAATCAGCTTCGAAACTCACCAGTGGGAGAGGCTGGGGGCAGGGAGTGACTGTCTGATGGGCCCCAGGCTGATCCCTCTCTAGACACTCCCACAAATCTAAGAGCCCACCCTGGAGTGTCTCCCTGTACTGTGCTGAGTGAGCTTGAGCGCCCACACGAGCGCAGTGGGTGTGGTCCTGGGGGGCAGTGTCTCCGAGACCCTGTGCTGGCGCACGGCTGGACCAGCTCTCCAGGCACAGCGAACAGTCAAGGGTGCTGGGCTCCCCTCAAAAGCCCTCCCAGCCCCTCCCCACCAGGCACTGGAGCACAGTCTGAGGAACTAGGTGTGCCCCATGAGAGCAACGTGGAGAGAGGCAGACACGCAAGTACACCTCACGGCCTGGCACGTGAGCACAGCAGACCCCGCACGGCTGGCCCAGCACACGAGCGTGGCTGCCCCGTCCCCACCCCTCACCTTGTTCATGGCCTGCCCTGGAAAGGGTCAGCAGCTTCCTGTACAGGCTGAACGTCTTCAGAATGACCTTCCCGGTGCTCTTGTTGAAGATGGCTTCCTGGAAAAGCGACCAAAAGGTGTCCGCCCGGCTGCTGGGCTCTCTGTGCGCTAACCACACGGCCACCTCCACTGGGGCCCCGCACGCTGGCCCCGCACGGACTCCCCCCAGCACGCCTCTCACAGACACCCTACAAGGAGCCCCCATACAGAGGCAGAGCTGCAGCCCAGCATGGCCCACCGCGCACCGTCCAACCTGCGACAGTTAACAGTTGGCGGATCTGGTCCCCCTGCTGCCCCATCCCCATCAGACCCCTGTGCCCCTGAAGCCCCAGGACTGCTCCAACAAAGTCCAGTGTCCCGGAACCTGGGTCCTCTTGCTGGGCATGGAGGGAGAGGGCAGCTGAAGCCGTCGCCAGCTCCTCTTTGCAATTGAGACATGAATGGCAGCATGGCCGTCAAGGTAAGAACACAGAGGTCGGAGGTCAGAGCAGCACTGGGGGCCAGGAGGCTTCAAGGGCTTGTGACGACCACAGGGGCAGGCCCCCACTCCACTCTGTGCTCAGGTGACACCCAGGAGTAAAGACACTCACAAGACCTTCTGAAAAGAAACGGCTCGGGGAGGGTCCTCGGCCCCCAAGGCACTGCCAAAAGCAGTCCAACGCGGAGAAGAGGTACGGCAGGCCAGGTGCAGGGCCGAGTCGGGCTGAGCAGGGACAACCAGGCTGGGACAAGGGCCGGGGCTGGGGTGGGCAAGGTGCGTTACGACCGCAGCGAGCGGACCCCCCTGCAGTGGTGTCTGGCCAAGCCTGGGAAGCGCCTCCTCGTGCCATGCCCTTGTCACCTGCCCTGCCCATCTGGCCCTTACCTCCCAGTCTTCCAGGTTCTGTACCGCCACAAACAGGCAGCCCGTGACGTAGAAGAGCTGCCAGCCCAGACTATCTGCAGAGCAGACACAGATGATCAGTGAGGAGACCCAGCAGAGCAGCAAAGGCCAGGGGCCTGACACAGACACTGGGCAGCGGAGGCGGGAGCGGCGTCTGGCCGGCTGACTGCCCAGGCCTGCAAGGACCCCCAGCCCGTGGCCTGCCATCCCACGCCTCTGGCCCTGTCTCCATCACACTCCACCCAGCTCTGCCCCTCACAGCACCATCTGTAATGGTGGACGATGGTGGGAGAGCAGGAGCGCCCTCGGGAGAGCAGCCTGACCTGTCCTCATCCCACAACAGGACCTTAGCACATACGACAAAGCATCTCATGCTGCAGGGACGCTCACGATGTCAGCAGTGAGATGCACGTGCGAGGCGGACGCCCCACCACGGACAGCCACAGAAGGCGGGTTTCGCTCCTCCTCTCCCCGTCCCGGGCACTGTGGGCATTACCAGGCGAGAGGCAAGGCACTTACCTCCGCTGTAGTAGGCGGCGGCCAGGCCGATGGACAGGATCCCTGCAAAGAGGAAAGCAAGAGCCTTATGCCCCAGGAGCACAGCCCCAGCAACCGGGCCCTTCCCGTGGCCAGGGATGGTGGGGGGCCGGGACGGGGGGAAAGCTGCAGGGGCTGAGGGAGAACGGCCAAAAAGTCTGCCCACGGACACGGGGTCCACCACTCGAAGCCTTCACAGATGCTCGTCTCTGCAGGCTTGGAGATCATAGGAACAAGAGAGGAGCCTGACGCAGCTCTCTGAGAGTGCATGGTGTGGGGTGCCCCCCCAAGGAGTCGCAGCTCGGCAAGCAGGGGAGCACGTGTGTGGGAGCCACACGCAGAGCACAGCTGGCACCCCTCCCCGTGCCTCCTCCAACCCTACCAACAGGCTCTTCCTGGGGGACAGGGGTAAGGGCCAGGAACCTAAACGAGCTCACGAACGGACTGAGGGTGAGAGCCACCCTCCCCCACGCCTCATCACTTAGGACGAGGACGAGCGTGAGTTCCACGAGTGTGGGGACTGCGACCTGTTGGGTACACTGCTGTATCCTCAGTGCCTACGACGTTAGCCTTCGGTAAGGAGCCTGGTGGCATAGTGGTTAAAGTGCTTGGCTGCTAACCGAAAGGCGGGCAGTTCGAACCCAGCAGCCATTCTGCAGGAGAAAGATGTGGCAGTCTGCTTCCATAAAGATTGACAGCCTTGGAAACCAGATGGGGCAGTTCTACTCCGTCCTACAGGGTCGCTATGAGTCAGGATCCACTCAATGGCAGCGGGTCTGGTTGGTTTTGGAAACCTTCAATAAATATTGTGGATTCAGTTTGTGATCACTAGCCCTTGAATTATATGTGTGGGCAAAGCCTGAGTCACAATCACTAAAGTTGACAAAACTGAAAAGGACCTGGTGGCATGAATCAGAGTCCCCGTGGGCAGGTGTGTCTGAGCAAGCATGAAGGCAACACACTGTGACCTCAGAGAAACACAGGAAGTACTGACAAAAGGGTGTTAGCTGGTGAAAAACGATACACTGGACACACACTGTTTATAGTAACAGATACAGAAAAAAATCTAAAAATACTACAAAAAAACAAAGCAGTCACTGTGATCTGAAGCAGCAGCACAAAGGAAAAAGAGCGGATTCGTTTTCACTTTTTAAAGGTCACGTGCCTGTTCTCTGGAGAAGCACTGAAAGCCTTACCAACCAGAAGCGACCAAGACCTGATGCCCGGAGCCCTCTTCAGGTGGAGGCGGGAGCCTGTGTGCATCTCCACCTGCATGTACATCCCGGAACGTTCTGGCATCACTCTGAACAGGATACTGGGGGGCTGGGTAAGAACAGAGACAGACAGGTGGAGCCCTTGAGCCCACTGACGAAAGATAAGCACCCACCTCCTCAGGAGGAGGCCGACCAGCCAAAGCCCCAAGGGCTCAAGAACCAGCCAGCTGAAGCAGCTATGGTGAGTCCCTTTACCCCTCCGGGGTGACTTTCCCCTTACGGCTGCCCTGGCTCAGCACCTGCCCCGTTCTCCCTGGAGACCTGAATCTCCCAGAAACCAGCAGACCCCTGCAGCCTTCAAACTTCCGGCACCCCACCTAGCAGAACCCCCCCGTTAGCCCTGTGCTGGCCTCCACCAAGAGAGGAAACCAAAAGGGAAGGAAAGTGTTTGTGTTTGGCTTTAAAAAAAAAAAAAAAAAAAGTTATGTTCTGAAAACCCTCATCGTGGTTTGAATCCAC